TTTTTTTTTTTTTTGGCTGAGGACCATGAAAATGAACACTGCTTTGATAACTACCCATAGGAATGAACCACTGATTAATACCAACCAACTTTTTCCACCCTCAGACAAAGGAAAACTAAGATCTTCAGGAATTACTTTTATTTCCTATTACTTCCTTACAACCTACAAAAAAGATCAACAACCACCACTTTAAAAAAAAAAAACCCTACTCTGAGTACAAGGTTTGGTTTAATTTTGATATTAAAGTGCAAACCTAAATATTAGCCTCAGCCTGTTGATAAAGTTTGTACAAACAGGGGAAAAAAAAACAAACAGACAACATTTCAAGTAACCCCACAAGAAAATATCAGGTGTTTTGATACCCAAGCAGGAAACCTGCTCTTCTCTTCTCATCAGGATTCAAACTCAGTGCTGAAGGTAGACTCAGAATCTGTATTTCTAAGCCAGCTTGTGTTATTACCAATGAAACACATTAATGTTGAGATACTGGTGTCCTTTATTGTTTCAAATGCCATCATCCACAATACATTTCGTGAGTTCGAAACTGCTTAACCTCACATATCCATCACTGCTTTTACTGGAGCTTTTCTCCAAGGTATTTAGCTATTACAGGGCAAGAATGTACATTTCTAGAAGCATGTTCAAATGACTAAAGCTGGGCTCCTAAAAACCTAGAACTTTGGTGCAGTAGGTGAGCTGCAGTTATTAAACTTCTGCAAAGAAAAAAAATCACACATTTTAAACCACTGCTAAAAAAAAAAAAGCTCTCATGGATGCAACGTGTGACTAAAACTGAACAAAACGGTTTCATCTGTCCTTTGTACATTTCCATTCTGCTCTTTATACCTGTGTTATTGTTAAGATTTTCAAGTATTCAGAGAAAATGTTGATCAGGTAAACAATATGGAAGGCAATGGCTGTTTAAAGCACGCTTGCAGTTAGTATCACTGAAACCTGGTGCTTTTCCCCTTGTTACACCAACTTGTCTCTAAAATTAAACTTGTTTATTGGGAAAAAAACAAACAAACAAACCTAAAAAGCAATTTGTGACAGTGCAAGAAAAACTTTTAACAAATATTGCTTTAAAATATTATTCAGAAAGACAAATATTAGGAACTACAAAATGTAAAGTGATCTTATTTGCATTAGATTTACATGTGCAGAGGTCTACCAGATGTCGCTTGCTGTGCCAGGCAAAGCTGAGCTGCCCCGACCAGGCACACAGCCCATTCTGAAGGATACATTATCCCTTTCCAGAGGCATTGAGAAGCTGCATGTAAACAAGCAAGTCGAGAAACTCAGTAGACAGAACAGAACGCTGCCATTTTCCAATGCTACAATGGTTGTTTTCTGATTAAGGGAGTTTAAGAAACCCACGATTGCCCAAAAAACATCAGCTGGAGACTTCAGGCCCCGTTCAGATCCCTGCTGCCCAATCAGACCAGTTACAAGCAGCATCACAGCTGCACTTGCCAAGAAAAGGGATACTGCATCCACACAACAGAGGTGCCTTCAGTATCTCTCCATGACACTGTCACACGTAAACAGAAAGTCTCAAAGAACGACCGGCTGCATCGGAGGAGAAAACTTTGCCAAGAGAAAGAAGCACTGATGCGAGGTAATATACAGAAGTAACCATTTGTTTAAGGCTCAATTTATTCTCCATTAAAACTCTCTTTTAAAAGGCATTGAGTAGGTAATACTGAGTTTAAGTATTTAATAAATACAAGTTCAGAAATTGATTAAAGAAATCAATTAAAATATTAAAAATGAACTCTTGCATATTAGCCATTATATGAACTTAGAAAGCTATAAAAGGACTGATAGATAAAGAACAGATTTTAAACTTATGGTAAACATGCTAAGCATTCTGATTAAGGTGTGTGGATCCTGGAGGCCACCAACCTTATGCACTTAGATGTATGGCAATGTGCTGTAATAGAGACAGGTTTACCAAGGCTCAGCTCTGCAACCTGGGCTGAAAGTTCTCCAAAGCAGCATCTGTGCAAGTTTCCTCTGAGTTTTATCTGAAATGTAAACAAAATAAGCAATGAAAATCACATGCAATACATATTCAAAGCAAACTCGGCTGCTTCCACAGCGTGGAACTAAGCTCCAAAGCAGGTCTTTAAACCCAGTGGCACACTTGAAGCTCTTTTCCTCTAATCCTGGTACTGTAAGAGGCAAATAGGTAACAACCATTCACCTCCTAACAGCTGCCCCTAAGGGACACTCAACTGTTTCTGAGGATGTCCGACAGCTGAGGGAACTTCAGTGCTCCTCTGGAGTGATGATGGGCTTCACATTGGTGGCACGGAGTCCCTTCACCACTGAGCAAAGCAAAGGCACAGAACACAAGGCCTGGGAACAGGCAGGTGAGCCAACCAAGGTGCTTTGACATCTGAGTTCTCAGCACTCTGATCCCCTACGTTACCACCAAAAAAGCCCTTAATGTTTCTCAGCTTCACAGCAGGGCAGCATCGTGTGCTGCTGTTCTTCATCATGCACAAAAATGTAACCTTTATCAGCACTGCCCAGGACATTTCTGTATCTCTGATGTTCATGGGTTACGGATGTGAAAGGTCCCTGCACTGCTGGAAAAGAATTCAAACCAAAACAAAGCCAACAGCACTTAGATTTCAGTAGTGATGCATTAGACCTACTTAATACACCTTCCATCTTTGCTTGGAGCACAGGAGGCAAACCATTTACAGGGCAGCTCTTCATCCTACCAGATTTGATCCATCCCAAAACTTCACCTAAATGCAGCACCCAGAGCTGTGGCCAGCACAGAGTCACATGGCACAGTAATCACAGAAGCAACAGCTTCCTCAAAATGCTCTTTCAGCATCCGTGTGTTTGCATATCAGGGAACACCCAGTGTACATTTCTGATCTTGCCATTTGACTTTATTGACTACAGTGAGCACCACCAGGCCGGCCTTCCTCACCCAGGACGTTCCTACCCTCCTGTGAGCAGGCTGAAGGGGGATGTTAGAAAACCTGGTAAGACAAATTTGTCTGTGTCACAGTCACACACAGAAGACAGCACACGTTCAGGTTCAATCCCTAAGGAGCACTTTTCCTTCAGCACTTGATGTCAGTTAGCCATGAATGGAGGGAGCAGAAATCACCAACCAGGGCCAGCCAAAAGTGTTCTCAACCTGTTCAGTGCCTCTAAAGAAGACCTTCAACAACAGGCACTGTATTTCAAAGATGTAAAAGATGAAACACTGCCACACTGAAAATACAGGAGAAAGGCTGGACTGAGCAACGGGGAGCAGCTACTGGGAATCTCACATCTCTGAATGCAAGAATGAGCTGACAGAAGACCACTGCAGAAGCAGGACAGGGAGGGAAACATATTTTAAAAGGAAGTGTGGGTTATTCTGATTATGCACATGTTCCAGCCTTCATCTCACCAAAGGCTGCCTGGAACAGTAACTCAAAGTCATATTACTCCAGAAATATTGTTAAAGAACTGACACAATGTCCTGTGGATACCTCAGCAGACAGGTTGAGCTACCAACCAGAAAGACGTAAGCGATAACCGCTACTTTAAACTGATTCTGAAACAGCTTTAGATGTGACCAGGAGCAACACACACACACACACTCTCAGCCCTCCCTTAAGCTTCTCAAAAATGTAGAAGCACCACCAGTCTCTGTGCACTTCACCCCGAGCTGACTAACTAACTGGTCCACACCAAAGGCAGCTCCCAGACACAGACAGCTCACACACTGCAGAGGTGATGACAGGACGGAGCTACAGCTCAACTCCATTTCCCACACGCATGGTTTGTTGTTTTTTTTAAGACAGCAGTTTTAACTGCCTTGGTTTCACTTTACTGAGGAGGGACCACTGCTCAAGCAGATATTTGAGAAGCAGTACTTATCCCCTGGATCACAGATAAGAACATTTTCTCCTAGAGAGCAGATTACAGCTATCAGAAAACCCCATCAGCAGCTCTCCTCCACCAGAGCACACAAGACATTTATTACCAGGCAGCAGAGCTGACGAGGTCCTACCCCTAATTCAATCAAAGGGAAGGGATCGAATGGGAGCCAGGAATAAGAAAACATCCAAAAAGTGTGAGCCTGAAGTGAGAGATATTGGACAGGAGCAGCATCTCCCAGAAGCAAGGAACTATTTTGATGCTCAAGGTTTTACGTGACTCCTTGAGCATGGCAGAATGCAGAAGAAAGCCATACCACTGAAACTCAGAATCTTGTGCTTCAAGAGACCACAAAGACATAAGAACCCAGATGTTTCTTCTGAAGCAAGAGCATGCTCTGCTTAGAAAACTCATCCTGATTTGGCATAACTTAGAAGGATTCAAAGGGATCACACACGGCTCTGTTCCCTCGCACCTTAAAGCCTAAACTTCATATCTGAAGTCATGTTCCAAACTGGCTGGATTACTCAGAGGCTTCTCTTAGAAGTAACCAACTCTGGCAGTACAAATTTCATGGATGACAGGCCTTGTTCTGTCAGGGCTGAAGACAGCAATCTGCACAAGGTGAACCACTGGTAACTCAACAGATTGCTGTAACTTCTGGCCCAGTATCATAAGAGATGCTTTTATTTGTGAAACTGTCCTAGAACCTGCTGAAACTGCATTACTACGAGTGGTCCAAGATATTAACCCTGCAGCATTCATTTCTATTTTTCTCTGCTCCAGTACAGTTTGCTCACCTTTCAGCCAAGCAAACCTTGAACCTGAACACATCTTACATGGTGACAGCAGCCCTTCCTTACTCCACAGCACTGGAGATAAAATACCATGCTATCTTTAGTATGACAGCACTAGGGCCACGAGTACCTAAAATTTTACATCCACAAAGCACTTGATAACAATCTCAAAGACAAGCTTTGAGACTTCACTCTCTGACCTTACGCTCAAGATTAAAGAGGATACATAGTCCAAAGCCTCCAGTAATAACCTGTTTTCACTCTTGTCACTCAGACATAAGAAGCTCCTTTGACTCGAGTTACTAACACGGCAGTCAGAATTTAAGCTTTAATCAGTGTAGCTGTCAAGTGAGGCAGTTCTTTCCCCTGCGTTTTCAAGTCCTCCTTCATCTCTGCACTTGCCCTTACAGATTACATCAAGTCTGTCGCATCTGACTCTGCAAACTGTGGTTCTGGCAGACCAGCTGGCTGCACAGAAAGGGCCTCTTCCAAAGCAGGGGTTTGAGCTGGTACTGAAACCACACCCACAGCAGCACCGAGGAAAACAGAGGAGGGGGTCACAGAAGCACATTGTGCAGGAATGACAGTGCTGCTGCTTGCATGGGAGGTGCAGAGCCTCTTACACAGCTGGGTGAAAGGCAAGGTGTGGTACAGAAAGATGATCTCGGGGGCAAAGGGCCTTGCAGAAGACTGGAAGCAATACCCAAGACCAGTGAAGCTTGACTTCAGGGTCCCTTCTGAACACTGCACTCTTGCCACACCTCTTATGAGTCACTGGGAAAGCAGAGTCAGGCCTTGGGAGGCCATTTTATCAACAGTATTCTCTGCTCAGGAGTCTTTAGATGAAGAACACTTTGTACATGTCCTTGACAAGTACATGTGGGCTTCTAGCCACTCCTCACAGCTCAGGGTAGCTCTCTTAAACTTATTCCACTGATAAGACAGAAATGTCCTCTAAGTACATTCAGTTTCTGTACAGCTTTTTTTTTTTTTTGAAGCAAGCTCCAAGTCTTCTCGGTACAATTAGTGGGAAGCTTGGCAAGTATAATGCTATTCAAGCCCAAGGTAATTCACACTAACTTGAAAATAATTCCGATACCAAACACAATGAAACATCACAAGAACATCATTAAGGATACAGTAATGTCCAATACAGTGCTGACAGTCAAAGCAGGTGGAGGTGAGATGATGAACTTTGCTGCACTACAAAATTGCTACAAGCAAAGGCAGCATTCCCTGAACCACCAATAGTGCAGTAAGGCAAGAACTCTGTGTGACTCAAGTAATTACGTGCAACGGAACCCACGAACCTCCAGCTCTTCCAGAGGAAAACTACCTCCAAAGCTACACTACTTGGTTTCAGACTCCTTGGCACATTTTATCACGTTTAAACAGTATGCTTCTACGCTTCAGTTAGTTACAACTGTTCAACCAACCTGCTCTGTATGGCCATGACTGAGGTTTTCCTTAACTTCTCTCACTGGACGATGCAAGTTGTACAACACTGATCTTGTTTTTCAGGCAGGGAGGCATAGTTCATTTGCCTGACGATCTCAGCAAACAGTTCATCCACCATTGTTTTGCTCTTGGCTGACGTCTCCATGAAGGGACAGCCCCACTCCTGAGCCAGAGCTCTGCCTTCTGCAGACAAGACCTCTCTCTCCGACTCCAGATCCACTTTATTCCCCACTAGGATCAGAGGGACTTTCTCGTATCTCTTCACCCGGACAATCTGGTCCCTCATCGGCTTGATGTCCTGATCAAACAATCCAAGCAGTTAGTACGTGCAAGCAATCACATGAAATCACTGTATAACCACTACAGGAGCACATTTAACCAACATCACATGCTACTGAACACTGAAAACGTTTCAAAGCTTTATTACACTCATAACCATGTGGAACTAGAACTCGCAACAACTTCTACACCCACCTTTAATAATGTCTGTTTTTTTTTCTAATTTTACACACCAGCTATTCTTACATTTTATCAAACATAACCATACAAACATAAATCTCAGACAGCCTTTCAGTTCAGCTGGAGGAAGACACAGTGCAGCTGCTTTGGAAAGGTTGATTTCAGTTTTCTAAAACAAATGGTCTCAGGTCTGATGACAGCAAACCTGTAACACGACGAGCAATATCACACCTCCACACAACCCATGAGGCTGTTTGTGTTCAGTTTGCAGCTCGAGAAAGCCAATAATTTAAATAGCCTTCTCACTTGTGGAAGGCTTAAAATAATTCATTGTGAACACGTTTAATCACTTGCAAGTAACCAAATCAGATGCTGCAAGAAGACTGCATTACCTAGAGACGCATTTATTCAAGCCTGAGCTAACATCAGGAGTTTACACTTTCAAGTCTGAGTCAGCCTCCCCTGTCCCCTGACTGTTTTAAGTCACTATCAGTGCCAGCCACTAAGTTCTGCAAATTCTTGCATAGTTCTGAGACAAAGCAATTAAGTGTCTGAAGTCACTACTGTGTAAAAGACCTGCAGAGTGGTTTACACCTACAGGCTTCGCAGCAAACATGCTGTAAACAGATAAGAATAACTAAATATTAACAGGGCGGATTGCTAACTGTATGGCCATTGCTTGAATAATGGGGAGTCAGCAGTCCCCAAAACATGTGAAAATAAAGGGAGAAGCATCCCAACGCCCTTGTTTTCCAAAGGGAGCACATCTGCAGCTTGTATTCAGCTACATGGAACCCTCTGCTAAGGTAAAACTGAGCCCTCAGTAGAAGCAGACGTTCTGCTTCAGTGGGGGTGTGCGAGGTTTCTCCAAGCAGCTGGAAAACGCCCAGTTCCAAACCCAAAGCCAACACAGCAGATGCAAATCCCTGCATTGTATGCAGCGCTGCTAAACGCATGTTTCCCTTCAAATAAAGCCTCGATCCTCCAGGCAGCTTAGCCCAGGTGCTGGCTGAGACGCTTCCATTTCTAGAGAGTTTTAATAGTAGAAAAGAGATCCAGAGCCACACATTATCCAATACGGCTTCTCTTCAGCACACCACCCAGTGTTCCAGAGCACCGAGCTCATGCTGGACAGGAACGTGATTCTGGGGGGAGGGGGCGGAAAACAGCAGCTGCTTTAGCAAGTCTTAACCGAAGAGCAATAATTTTCTCTTCAAAAGCAACCGAAAAAAAAAATCCTTTTAAGAAGAGGGGGAAAAAAAAAGAGGAAGCGTTGGTTTTAATATCGAGTGATCTTCTCGCAGAAGGGGATTGCCAACACGTTTCTAACAGGGAAGTGGGAGCGGGTCATTGTTCTCCAGCGCTGCGTGGGCCTCCACAAAGCAGGCACCCCGACCGGCACCCGCACAGCGCGGGGCCCCGGCCGTGCTCACTTCGGCCCTCAGAGGAAGGCCGAGCCCACGCTTCCTGCAGAGCCCCGGCCCGCTTACCTGGAAGGACTGCTGATTGACCAGGCTGTAGACGAGGATGAAGCCCTGCCCGTTTTTGATATAGAGGTCGCGCATGGAGGCGAACTGCTCGGTGCCCGCCGTGTCCAGGATCTCCAGCACCGAGGGGGACGAGTCCACCTCGATCTCTTTGCGGTAGAAGTCCTCGATGGTCGGGTCGTACTTCTCGATGAAGGTCCCGGTGACGAACTGCACCGTCAGGGCGGACTTCCCCACCCCCCCGCTGCCCAGCACCACCACCTTGTACTCCCGCATCGGGCCCCGCTCGCCGCTCCCCCGCCGGGCCCGGGCCTAGGGCAGGCGGCAGCGCGGCCCTCGCATAGCCCCGGCCCGCCTGAGGAGAAGGGCGAGGCCCCGTCGCTCCCGCGCCGGCCCGAGGAGAAGAGACGGCCGTTAGGGCCCGGTGCTGCGCGCTGCGGCCAGGGCCCGCCGCTTACCGCCGCGCCTCACTCCATCGCGCCGCGGGAACCGCCCGGCAGCGGCCAGCCCCGCCCGGAAGGGTTACGCTGCGGCACCGGAAGCGCGCCCCTCCCCGCCGCTCTGCGCGGGTCACTTCCGGGCGCGCGCGCACCGCCCTTCTGCGTCTGACGTCGCCGCGCCGAAGGGGACGGGTTTGGGTGCGGCACCGAGGCGCCTCGCTCTCCGCCCGGGGGACCGCTTCGCGTGCGGCACCGCGGCACCGCCCCAAGATGGCGGCGGGGCGCTCGGGGCCGGGCTTCGCCTCGTGGGCGGGGCCGCCCGGGGCCGCGCGCGCGGTCGCTCTGGCGCCGCGCCGCCCCTTGGCCGCAGCGAGGAGCTTTTCGGCCTGGGGCGCTGCGTTCTGTGCCCGGCTGCGGCTCCCGCTGGGCTGCGGGCGCCAGGGGTCAGCGGGGGAGCTCCGCGCCCAGCCCGGGAGGCAGCCCGGCCGTGTGCATAAATAGCGTTATTTGTTCACCGGCTGAAAGCTGCCGGCCGGTTCTAATCGGCGACAAATGGGGGAGGGAGAAAAGGGGAAAGGGAGGATGAGGGTTACAATAATGAGATTACACGGCCGCTTTGGTTCCTTGTGCGCGCGGCTTTGTGGCGCTGCCGGGCCTTTGTGCGATGGGTGGAGAAATGAGCAGGAAGCGGGGCTGGGGGCAAAGAGCGCAGCTGGGGGCAAAGAGCGCAGCTGGGGGCAAAGAGCGCAGCTGGGCGGCACAAAGCAACAGCCGGCACAAAGCGACGGCCAGCACGGCTTGGGTTCTTCTTCCAGGTCCTGTTAATGGAGATCAGTTTGGGGTCTGTCAGATTTCCTTCCCAGCTCCCAGCAGTTGGTGCTTTATGGTGTCTGTACAGGAGGTGGAGGTCACAGGGTAGTCGTTCCCTACATCAGCACACGGCTGTCGCACTGGGCTGTGTGCTGTCGTGGTCTGCAGCCACAGAAATTGCTGCTGATGCTCCAGATGAGAACGGCTGCTGCTTCTGTCAATGGCCAAGCCCCGTGCCACACGCTCACCTCCAGCCAACAACACCTTTCTGCTGCCCCCATGCTGTCCTCACCTCGCTGTACCTCTGAGGTGTAGCACTGTGACCTGGTTTCATCTCCACTGCTGTTTTTTAGCCATCTCTTGCCAAGGAGAGCGATGCAGTGCTCGTCCCACGGGAGGGTTTGTGCTCCCTCGGCAAAACAAACCTCCTAAATGAGCATCTGGGCAGTGTTTGATTCCTGGTCTGTGCTGTTGATGTACTCAGCTGCTCCGTGCCGTGCCCTCGGCCAGCAACAATAAAGCAGGCAGTTATTAAATTAACCTGCTAAGACACAGATCCTGCAGGGATGTTCGGGGAGCAGACAGATGGCACAAGCAAAGGGCCAGGACTAATTGCAATCCCCATCTCACGAAGGTGAGAGGTGGCTCCTGTTCAGTGCTGAAGAGCCCTGCCCTGTCCTGAAGCCCAGAGAGGAGCAGCCCAGGCTCTGGAGGGAGGGAGCAGCTCTGCTGGTAGGGGTACAGCTACTTCCTCACCAGACAAAGCGTGAGCAGTGCACCGACTGCTGCTGCTGCCTCTGCAGGCTGCAGTTACCGAGCAGAGGTGGCTGTGACTCATTGCCTCTGCCCAAGCTCTGCAGCAGGCCATTGCCAGCGAGTCTGCAGCAGGTGACTGAGTGGAGGCTGCTCCAGCAGGGATAGCCAGGATTTCACCTAAGTTACACACTAGCCGAGTACATAGCACGGGTGAATATAGACAAGCTTAAGACTTTGTGTTATTTCTTCACCAACCCCGTAATCATAAAAACAGCTTTCTGTTTCAGCTCCTTCAGAGTGCAGTGAGGTCTGTCTTGGGGGCTGGAGGTGTTCACCTGGCTGAGCCTCTTAATTCTGGGCCTTTGCAGCAGCACTACCTGCAGAGACACTTTTGTTCTTTGCCAGTTTCTCCAGCCAACGTGGAGATGACTCAGAGGCAAGTTCTGAGGACTTTTCTCTGAAATTTCTTGTTTCTGCTGGGGTGCTCAAGCCTATTACTTTGCTTGCACCTAAAAAGATTCCTCCGAAGCAGTTACTGATTCTGGGGATGCACTGAGTTACAGCTGGTACAAGAAGGTGACTGGAATTTCTGGGGAGGACAATCCCAGTGCTGCTCACCTCCCCAGAACCTCGCATGTCTTGTGATACCAGCACAGCTCTCTCTCACTGACACCAGCTTCCACCAACGTCCCCAAATCTGATGGGAGGGAAATGGCCTCAAACTTTCCCATGGCAAATCACCAACGCATGTGACAGCCTCTCTCTTTCTGCACACATAGAGAGTCTTCCAGCCAGTGCTGTCATGGAGTAAAGCTGAAAATATGCCTCTCTAAGGCTCAAAAGCCTGAAGGTAACAACGAACAAATAAACCAAACCTGTTGTTTTAAACCCTAACTGAAAAGAAAGGTGGAGGAAGGTAAACATGCTGTCAAGATATACTGAAGACTTGTGAAAATAAGGCAATTTAAAACTGGCACCTAAGGGAAGAGTTCTTCCAAAATTCCACGGCTTTCCCTTTTTAATCATATTCCCTCAGCAATTACAATTCAAATGCTGCAGCACTGTGCAAACTTGTGCATGAAATGCAATGGCAGAATGAAGCAGCTAACAATCAATCAGAGTGCTACTCTCCAGTTTATTCCCATTTCAGGGGGAGAATAAAACCTAAAATTCAACCCAAATGGGGATTTGTGCAAGCACTGCGTGCCATGCCCCATCCCTGTGCACTCTTCTTCACACTCACCACTTTTTGCAGCCACAGCTGAGGATGTGCACGTGCAACAAAGTGAGCAGAGAGTTCTTGTGCGTGTCTCTGGGTCAGCACACTGCATGTGGCTCTCTGGAGGGAGGAGGCTGGGATGTCAGCTCTTCTTTCCCATCCTCCCGTCCTCGTGAAGAAGCAGCATTTCTTCTTCATGCAATCCCAAGAGAGGGAGGAGGTTCAGGTTGGGTATTGTTTGGTGAGAGGATGGTCAGGCGTGGAACAGGCTCCCAAAGGAAGTGGTGGTGGCACTGAGTTGCTGGAATTTGAGAAGTGTTTGCACAATGCTCTCAGATGTGGGGCTTGAATTTTGGATGGCCTTTGTGGGGCCAGACATGGGGCTAGATAATCCTTGTGGGTCCCTTCCAACTCAGGCTAATATGATTCTACAATTCTAAGTGTATTGGAAGCAATGTCTGGACAGACAGAGATTCTCCCCAGACTGCATTTGCAAAAGCTAACAAAACTGCCTGCAAAGTGAGAACACGGCAATCTCATTATGAGACACTTTATCAGCCTTCCTGCCATGGGAGGGCGATGGCGCAGAGCTCCTCCTTGCCAGAACTGTCAGCTCCCCTGGAAGCTGCACCTGCCTGCCTGGAGACAAGCCAGGCAACATCCAGGAGCTGTACAATGCCTTGACAGCAATTGCTGGAGAGCTGGTGGCACCAGGCGTGGGGTTGGGAGCCCTGGCCTCAGAGCCCTGCTGCTATCAGAGCCTGGCCTGGAGCCCTGGGCTCGAAAACGAGGAAGCTCCTTGAAGCCTCATTGGAGAATTCAAATGGGATGGAGTTGCAAAACAACTCATTTCTTGACTTAAAAAATGGAGTTAATATTTGTCAGCCAGGGCTGAAGAGCAGCAGGGACCATCGATAGGCTCAATGGGAAAAGCTGTGCTGCTGAGGGCTCGGGGGTCTCTGTGGTAGTCACCCATGGTCACGAGTCTTCTGTTCTGTGCTTTGTGAACTTGCTCAAGTTCATTTGGGGGATAAAAGCCAGCAGTCTGACCCTGTCTGGCCCTGCAGGTGGACACACAAAGCCCTGTAGGAAAACAGCTGTGGCCAGGGGCCCATGGGCAGTGTGTAGGCAGCCCCCAGGTGAGCCCAGGCACTAGGGAAAGCATGCTCTTGTCTCTGCCTGGTGTTGCAGCAGATCTGGAAGCAGGTGCAGATCTTGAACCCCTGTCCCTGCTGAGTCTGTGCCCCACTCCTGCCCCAAAACACTCACATTTCCCTTGTCCCAATGGGGTCCATCTGCTAGTCCAGCCCTGTGCCCCAAGTGGTTTGGGGATGCAGATCTGAGATGTTGGGGGAGAGCACTGAGGCTCATCCTCGTCCATGGACTGAAAGCTCTCCTTGATGTGGCACCTGCCTCATCGCCAACTCTTTTCTTATCTCCTGCTTTTCATTTTCCTATTTTTTTTCCCCAGTTAATCCCATGTTAAATTCTTCCTCATTCTCTTAAAATTTTACAAGTCCCTCTCTCTCTTTTTTTTTCTTTCTGTGGAGGTTTTCTAATCTCTCTGTCTCATGACTTCATACCTTGCTCTGCCACCATGCTCTGATTATTTAAACATGAGTTCTTTGCACATTACACCTGTTTGACATAAATTCTTGCATGTTCCCTGGGAAGAAAATTATCCTCTATTATCCAGTACTTTGCAGCCTGTGGGAATGGACATCGCACCAAGAGCGGCAGCAGCTCCAGTAGTGATTAGAGGCGGATAAAAGGCAGTTAGCAGCTTTGCTTTGAGTTTGGTGCCATTATCCACCCATGCCTTGTTGCCCAAACTCTGCAACCTGGCTGAAGTTGGTGGTCAGTGAGATGGGGTGAAGGGAGTTTGTCCCTGTGTGCCTCCTAAGTGGATGGAAAACCAAAGCTTCCATCAAGCTTCCATCAAAGCTTCTCTGCCCTGGGCTTGGTCCATCTCTGAGGAGTCTGGGGAAGTTTTGGGAGCGTGCTGAGGTTGCTTTTGCAGGCACAACTTGTCGCCTGCTCTTCTTGCAAAAAAGCCCAGCCTAGTG